GAGGAGGCTACAATGCTTGATAAGAAATGTATTCATTATCTTGCCCATGTAATTGTAACCCCTCTGTACAGTATTTTCACAATAAAAAAAAAGAATGTAAAAAAAAACAACTAAGTGTTTTGGTTTAATTATTTACTTTTTTTGGGTCAACTCGGTACCTAGAGCTTTTGCTCATTAGCTGGTGCTCTACCAACTAAGCCACACCTCCAGACCTTGTTTAATTATTTTTGATTCAAGGTCATGGCATTTTTCTAATTGTCACCCTGAATCCAAGTTGCTTCTTGCCCTTGATGCTGAAGTGAAATTGCTTTGATAAAGTCTTTGAGGACTGGTAGATAATTTTTCTCCCCAGCCCATCCCACTCATGCTGTAATAGGCAGTTTCCTGAGGTTTGTTCCTCCCGGAGTGAGGAAGTACTGAATTGCACTTTATGGTGGCTAGGCTGATATCATACCCTCACACCGGGTTTCCCTGTTAATCTGCTTCATTTCTACCAAGGCCCTTAGTCCTGTTCTGTGAGACTTCACTGTACCAAGGAGGGAACCTATAAGTTTTTGCCTCCGGACGTGCTATTTCTGCTTTGTGCTTTGGGGTGACTGAAACTAAGGCCCCTCTCAGTCTCTTTCACCCATACTTTATTTGGCAGTAGTTTATAGTGTCCCAGTTTTAGCAAGTCTTCTCAAAGTACTCAATCTTCTTCATAGAAAAGCCAAGCTTTTCTTATTAACTTTCAAATTTCAATGTAATAATTAAATTATGTAATTACAATAACACATAATCTTGTAAAATGATGTTTAAAAATAAACATAATTAGGCTCTTGGTAGGAATACAACCCTTGAAGTTTCCTGGAGAGCACTCATAGCTTGCAGATTAATTTTGTCTTTTTTATTAGCATACATTAGCTATACAAGGGGGGATTTCTGTGACATTTCCACTCATTTATAGAATGTATTCTAGTCAATCTCTGTCACTTTCTTGACTCCTCCTTCCTAATAACAACATCCAGAGGTTTTATTGTTCTATTTTCATACTGACAACATTTTGACAATATTGTTTTGTCTTTTGCAACATTTTAAAATTGGAACAAAGGGGCATAATCTAAACACTTAGCATAAATCAAGATTTCTCCTATTAAGAAGAAATGAGAAGACTAGAGACATATAGCAATAGACTCAAATAGAAATGGACTGAGAAAGGTATGAAATATGGGTCTGCTGAGGGATAAAAACCTAAGAAGTTGAATTCTACATTACCTTACCCAGACTCATATTAAAATCTGAGGTGTGTGCTGGGACTGCTTGCTTTATACCAGCTATAGTTGGTAAGGGGAGATAACAATCAGATCCTCTATGTGTAATATTCTATGTGTAATATCCCCTTGATGACAAAATTCATTAGCTCACGTCTAGAGGACTTTACCCAGTAAAGTGGTATCTTCATCAACTCTATGTCCTGGGAGAATGTGTGAAGTCTGATATGTATCATGCTATGCTGCCTCCTGCATTAAAAAAAAATCTTTCAATTTCTATGCTTTATTGCTATAGAAACTTTCTCACCCTCTAAATCTGTATTTTCCCATCATTTCAATTACCTTGTTTGACAACACAGATTTTGAAGAGTGTAGATTACACATTTCTAAAGCTCAGCAAGTTTTTGTTTAAAATTTGTGGCTTTTGCCAGCCCAGGTAGAAAAGTCCCCATGAGACTCTTACCTCAAATAAACCATTCAAAAACCTGAAGTGGTGCTGTGGCTCAAAGTGGTAGAGTACTAGCCTTGAGTAAGCACTCAGGGACAGCGCCCAGGCCCTGAGTTCAAGCCCCATGACTGACAAAAAAATTTCATGGCCTTCATTGTATGTAAATACAAGATTAAAAAATTAAAAAAATAGGGCTGGGAAGGTGGCTCAGTGGTAGAGTGCTTACCTCGCATGCTCAAGGCCCTGGGTTCGATTCCTCAGCACCACATAAGCAAAAAGAAAAAAGCCGGAAGTGGCGCTGTGGCTCAAGTAGTAGAGCGCTAGCCTTGAGCTGAAGAGCTGAGGGACAGCGCCCACGCCCAGAGTTCAGGCCCCACAACCGGACCAAAAAAAAAAAAAATTAAAAAAATATGTATGCTCATGTATTTGTGGGAAGTATACTGACTTTGGAAATTTATTTTGAAATGCATTGAGAAGCTGGATAGGTAAGTAATAAATAAAATGTTCAATCCACATGGTTGGTTTGGTACTTATTCAGTACAAAATTCTTTCAACTTTGCTGAATGTTTAAAATTTTGGGAAAGATCCTCAGTTGGTATATTTCAATTATATATAATTTGCCTAAAATATATTATTCTTTCTGTAAGACAGATTCTACAGCAACGCATGGACTAGAAATTAGCTCCTAAATTTTTTTTTTTTTTCTAGGCATGAGGCCTGAACTCTGGGCCTGGGCGCTGTCCCTCAGCTCATCAGCTCAAGGCTAGTGCTCTACCACTTGAGCCACAGCACCACTTCCAGCTTTTTCTGCTTATGTGGTGCTAAGAAATCGAACCCAGGGCCGCATGCATGCAAGGCAAGCACTCTACCACTGAGCCACCTTCCCAGCCCCAGCTCCTAAATTTTCTATAGAGTTCTAAAAGATATGTATTTATAGACATGGGAAGGAGAAAATACAAAAAATAATTGAAATGGAAGCCAAATTACACTGAGCAATTACTAATACTGGTGTTTTTATTTCTATAAAAATAAGTATAATTCTGAATAACTTTAAATTATTAAAAGAGAAATATCTTTTCTGTCAAGTTTACATAAATCATGTTTATCCAAATTCTATCTTCAATAATCCTTACAGCAAAAAAAAATATATTTTGGGTGGGGGAATATAGTTCAGTGGTAAGAGTGCTTGTCTAGCATATAGGAGGTAGGCTCAATCCTCAGCCACAAAGGAAAACAAAAACTTCACATTTACTAAAGACCTTCATGAGGGGCTGGAAAGGTGGCTCAGTGGTAGAGTGCTTGTCTCGCATGCATGAGGCCCTGGATTCGATTCCTCAGCACCACAAAAAAAGAAAAAGCTGGAAGTGGCGCTGTGGCTCAAATGGTAGAGTACTCACCTTGAGCCGAAGAGCTGAGGGACAGTACCCAGGCTCAGAGTTCAAGTCCCACGACTGACAAAACAAACAAAACACACCTTCATGAGTACTCAATATTATTTGTTAGGATGCTACATATTGGAGTTTTGGGGAAAATTTAAACAAGGCTTTCAGATAAATCTATATGTGTTTTTCATCTTCATACTTTCAGCTGGGGAACCTGAACAAATGAATGTCCATAGTCTTAATTTCCTCATTTCTACAAATTTCTAATTTTTAAAAAGGATATATCAGGCATCAAATATCCAATTTGAAGAAAAAAAATGCAGAATGCCTTATTTAAATGGACAAAGTCATCTCCTTATTAATTCAAACAGTAACTGTGACAGAACTTGTTTTTCCCCAGAATTGTAGAAAATACTGACAAAAAGTAAAAAAAAAAAAATTGTTACATTGATATGAGTTAAATGCAGAAATGACCTCTTGTGTCTGTATTTCCTGATAGAAGCTACACACTTAGCCTTGAATTAAATGCTCAGTAATATTTTCTATTTTGTACCTGTCATTGCTACCTGCTAGTCATCACTGAGACAGAACAGAAAGCTATTAACTACCATTCTCTTTCCTGCCTGTCAAATGGTCGAAAGAGTAGTTATATAACACTGGGACATTAGAAAGCATGTACTTTCTGGGAAGTGTGTAGTATACTTTCTGGGAAGTGTGTAGGTATTGTCTCTTGCTATTCATGGCATCGTAATTTTTTAAAAAAATCTTTGGGGACTTTCAAAAAAAATCAGCCGTCCTGTTAATAATGCAGCTTACATTCCCTTATTCTGATAATACTGTCTGAAACTAAGCAATTGCAGCAAATCCTTTTAGTTGGTGTATAGCTCTCCTACTTGTCCATAACTCTCTAATGGCTTTCACAGTAGGTTCAATTCCTGCCTACTCAAGTTCCATTTGGACCTTGGTCTATTTTGATTTTGGCAATAGTGATACATTAGGAATTTCTTCCCTTTTTTCTTGTCTCTTCTTTTGTGCCAGAGTTCTTTTGAACTTAAGGCCTCATGCTTTTCCTCGGGTTTTATTTTTGGCTCAAGTCTGGTGTTTTACTACCACCTGAGCCACACCTCCACTTCCAGCCCTTTGCTAGTCAAAGATAAGAGTCTCACAGACTTTTCTGTCTGGGCTGGCTTTGAACCTTGATCCTCCAATCTCAGCCGGCTAAGGATTCAAGGTATGAGCCACTAGTGCCCTGCCACATTAAGGAATTTCTAAGTAGTTACATCATACCTAGAGGAGTCCCATCTACAAATCTCCACTATTTCTAAAATGTCTTTCTAAGTAGATGAGTTTCTTGATAATCATTTCACTAAAAAAAGTGATGACTTTGAAGAGAAACTCAATAGCCAACATAAAGAAAAAAATCTGGGCAAAGAACTAGAAAGATATCCTATTCTAAATATCCTTGAAGTAGAAAGCAATTGCAATTACACAGCAGAACCTGCTCTGTAGCCCACACAGAATCATTTCCTTTCTTTTCACTGCATTGTGCTCTTCTTCTCAGACTTGGTTTTTAAGATATAAATTCACTAGGCAGGATGGTGTATATATATATGTGTGTGTGTGTGTGTGTGTGTGTGTGTGTATATATATAGAGAGAGAGAGAGACAGAGAGAGAGAGTCTAATCCAAAGTTTGGGCAGTATGTAGCACAGTGAAAGTATTCAACTGCTTTTTAATCACTATAATGGCACTTTACTGACTCTTCTACAGTGAACTGAACTGGTAGAGGTCAGGGTACCTTTACTTTTACACATAGCTATAAAAATATGGCCTGAACAAAACAGACTCACAGACTAAGTAAATGGAATGGTGGGTAAAAATAGTTTCTTTAGATACACTAAAGAATTAAACAGACTATATATCACATAAAAAAGTTTATTTAAGGTTTGCTTGGAATATTTCACATACATCTCTACTAGAAACACAAACACTCAATGGGAACATCAAACCAAGGGACTAAAACAGTGGAAGGAAAAATGGGAAACTAGGAACCCATTCTTGATATTACATTCAAATATAAAACATACACACACACACACACACACACATACAAGATTTTTTAAAAAAACCTATAACACATTTTTGGCTCAAAGTATGTTTTCATAAGACATATCTCATTCTTAAGTAAGAATGGTATATAGGATAAACAACTTCTGTGTTTTTTATATCTTTATTTTTGTCTCTATCTTGATATTACTAATCAAAATTCCACATCATCTTTTAAGAACCATGTTAAATACCTCTGCATTGATAATACTCAACAACTGTCCTTCTCTGCTCTCCAGTGTTTTATATTTACATTAACACCAGGTAAATAAAGCTTCAAAATCTCTTCAAGATCTCTTGAGACAGCATTCTAAAAAAATTTACGTAAAAGGTAGTTCTTTGTCTTAATCATCTGAATTAACTAACACAAGACCTTTTTTGGAAAATACTGCAGAATGTGCTATGCACATAGTAAGCAGCTGCTGGGTTGGCTACAAGTTTTGTAAGTTGCAATTATCTCACTCTTTTGAACAACTTCTATTTAGGATTCCTTCTTCTGCTTCTTCTTCTTCTTCTTCTTCTCCAGGATCACATATCATCTGGTAAACATATAAACTGAAGACCCGGTTGGGTTTCTGTTCTATATGTAGTACCAAGTCTCTGTCAAAGTAGACTTCATGGCTATATGTCTATAATAAAAACAAAGTCATATGAAATCTCCTTTTCCCAGAACCCTATTCACTGCAGTGATACTCAAGTGTCACAGTACCTATGCTAGGATCTTCAAATACACATTAAGAGGCAAAGAGGTGCCAAAAATAGATTTATTTTTCGTTATTTGTGGATATGCAGATTACTAACAAAAAAAAGAACAGTACAAAAAAAGAGAATAAAAAGAACTCTGGACTCAGATTTAATTGTCAACACTGCTACTACCTATCTCCCTGTGTAACCAAGTGCAAGTTGTTAGGCATTTCAAGTTCCGCATGGAAAAACCAATGTTAGAATATCTGCTGTTCCTTGTGGCTTTGACATTGTACAATAATTTGAAGAACAGACAATGTTTCCAAGTGCTGCCTGGAAACCCAACTTACTTAGATACTGTCTAAACACCTGTGGGGATTCACTACATTAAAATTTTACTTTTTAAGTGTTATCAAACCTACAATTGCAAGAAAATCAAAGAAAGGAAACTACATGTGTCAGGAAGATACATAATTTTTATCTTCAAGTCACAGGAAAGAAGTTAGGACCTCCTTAGTGCCAAGAGAGGGACAATACTTTTTTCATGTGGTCACTGACACAGGTGATTCTAGACTACTGTGGACGGACACTCTGCAATAAATAGAACTCATTAAAAAAAACCTTATAACTGTATCCCCAGGGATTCTACTCACCACATCCCATGACTCCACTAGTGGAATGCTTTTAAGTAAAGTTCCATATTCATTACAGTGGAAATCCAGGTGAGCTTTTCCCTCAGCATCTATTTGAGTAACAGCTACCACAGAAAGCAAATCCAACTCATCTTCATAGTCCACAATTTTGAAAGTCTTGGGTATAGATGAATAGGGCAGAAGAAAGAGGGTTAAATGCAATTAATGAGCAGGAATAGTTCTACATTTAAAATTTAACTACTCTATCACTCACAAAAATATTGCAGAAGGAAGAATAAATGGGTGAGTGAATCAGTAGAAATATGTCTTATCTATGTGCCTAGTAAAAGACCAGTCAGTCCTTAGACTGCAGATTTTGACAAATAGAACCAAGTCAATCAAAGTATAACTGACATTCTCTACAATATAGCAAACAAGAGTTTCTTCCAATTCCAAAGAGGTATCCAATTGCTGCCTCTGCACTGTGTTCATGAAGTCCCAGGAAAAAAAACATAAGAAGCTAAGATCTAAACCCTGATGACTGCTCTCTAAGTTCTTCAAATTTTCAAACCAGCTGGAATCTGTGGCTTATACCTGTATTCCTAGCTCTTCAGGAGGAAAATTTCTGAAGGATTGTGGTTTAAGACCAGACCAGACAAAAAAGTACTCTAGACTCCATTTCCAAAAAATAACCAACCAAAAACAAAAGTGAGAGGCACTGAGTTGAAACCTTAGTATAAATTTTTTTTAAAAGTTCTCAAACTAGAATGTTATTTCAGCAAGGACTAATGGCCCCATCAATACTATTTAAACTCTAGTTGCTATATTTTGGCTCCGTGGTGAAAATAAAATGGCTGTTTATACTTAAAAGGGAATATTAGGAACTAAAATCCAACCCACAGAACAGGAATGGGTCAAAGGGACTAGTTATAATAAACAGAGAGAGAAAAAAAACAATAACAACAACAACAACAACAACATCTGCTTCCAGGGAAAAATCCTGAGCCTCCAAAAGCCTCACTGGGGAAGCAGATCACTGCCTAGCCAGTCATGGATGGGCCAAAGAAGGGCACATCTTAGCTGAGACCCTAAAGTTAATATTTAAGATAGGTACAATAGGGCTAGAGTATGGAACAAGTGGTAGGTTTGCCTAGCAACTATGAGGTCTTAGATTAAATCTTCAGTACTAAATAAACAAACCATTCATACTGAATTATTGGTTTTATTTTTTTGGTGCCAGTCCTGGGGCTGAACTTAGGGCCTGGATGTAGTCCTGGAATTTTTTTGCTCAAGGCTAGTGCTCTATCACTTGAGTCTTAGCTTTACTGTCGGCCTTTTGATGGTTAGCTGAAGATCAGAGTCTCATGGGCTTTTCTGTCCTGGCTGACTTTGAACCCTGATTCTCAGATTTCAGCCTTCTGACTAGCTAGGATCACAGGTCTTACTATCTTTCACTTATATTTCATCAAATTGCTCTTTAATCCACTTACATTTTTTGACTTTACAACCTTACAACATAAAAATATACAGAGCTATTATAGGTGATTCCTTTTTATTTCTCTTTTGCTTTAATCCTACCATGGTCAAATTTTTCTCTCCCTTCTTATCCCCCTCCACCACACATTTTAACAAGGTCTTGCTACTTATTAAGCTCAGGCTACACAGGCCTTGAACTCACAATCCTCATACTTCAGCCCCTTGAGTGCTAGAATTACAATGCATGTACAACCATGCCTGAACACAGACAAATTTCAAAATGCAACTTTTTGCCTGAGTGTCAGTGATTTTTAATGTACTTTAAAAGTAGGACTCCCTTTCAATCTTTCCTTTAAAGGCTGAAAGGTTTTGTTTCCTAATCTTATGATATAGAACAGTCCTATTTTTGTTGCTACCTCACCCTCACTTCCATATTAACACTACTTTTGGCATATCTTTCTCAATTTTTTGTTTTTGTTGTTTTTCTGATATTGGGGGGCTTGAACACAGGGCTTTTTAACACACAGCTTTTTAACACACAGCTTTTTAACTCAAGGATGGTGCTCTACCACTTGAGCCACAAGATCTACTTCTGGCTTTCTGGTGGTTAGAGGTAAAGAATCTCATAAATTTTTCTGTCCAAGTTGGCTTTGAACTGCAATTCTCAAAAACCAAAAAGATGCATCTCAAGAATTTTCAACTAAGCAATTTTCCTTAAAAACGGTACTTATCAAACAACAAACTAATCATGTTTTTAAATTATTTTGATCTTATGAACCGTTCTTATAAATAATTCCAATAAGAAAAGAGAGGAGTGGGGTTGCTCTGGTCAAAACAGGACACACTTTCAGCCTGCAGGGAGTCGCTTGACAGAGACTCAGAAGCAGTATTCAAAATTCACCATTCAGTATATACTGGTTTAAGTTTGTCATGTTTAGTCCAATTAATAATACCTCTTGCTCTGGGTCATCATCCAGAAGGTTAACACTTTTTTTTACTACCCGTCCAGAAGCTGTAACAGTAAATAGGTTTTCACTCTGTTATAGGAGAGAAATAAAAAGACAGTGTATGTAGTCAAAGATAAAACTGATATTAATAAAGCATAATAAAAATGGTAGTAATAATTTGATAAAACTAATCAGCCCTCTGATCACAATTCTTTCTTCAACTGTACAAAATCTACATCAGAATTTTGGTCCGTTAGCAAAAAGTACTTTCAGTAAAGGTTTTAAATGGAAAGCATTCTAGAATTGCAAAATTAACTTTGCTTTAATAGAGTACAGAAAACAAAATAGCTCTGCTTTTCAAAAATTCTTTCTCACCTCTTTTTATAGTCTTAGTTTTTTTTTATACACTAAAGGAAAAATGCCATCTGGAGCTAAAGCAGGTTATATGGTTTTAAAAGATTTATAGATACCCCAACTAACTCTAGGTTTCCACAACTAATGAAAGCCAAAGGCTTACTTAATAAAAACCTTAAAGAGAAACCTAGATGGGAAATGAAATAAACAAAAGGTAAACAGGATAATCAACTCTCTCCAAATCTCATGTACATGGGGATAAGACATGCAGAAAAATGAAGAGACCCTGTAGTTCTATTTTCGGTAATAAGGAAAATGCATTTGCACATTACAAACAATTACGTACAAAGAGTTTAAAATGTATTCTTGACTTACTTTGTTTTCCCTATTGGCCCAAATGACAAAATCTTCAGAAATTTGATGCTGAGAACTATTATTTTCTATTTCACTTAGTTTTAGAATTCTGGGAAGGAAAAAAGAATTCTAGGAATTAAAGATTTCAAAGCATCATCAACATTAAAGTTGAACTACTGATATAAAAAGCAATAAAAATTATAGTAACAATAGAGTTCTTTTCTCCTGATTTTAGTCTGTAATAGTAAAGAAAGAAAATAGAATAGTTTAGTTATTACCCACACAAATCAATTCATATCATTAACAAGCTTCAAAAGCACAACGTTCTCAAAGTTCCAAGTCTTACATGCATGCAACGAGAACAGCAGAAAGGAGACATAGCTACTGTGGCCAGGGACAGCTGGACCTCAAAGTTGCCAGAGACAAAAAGACTGGATGTTTTAAATCACTCAGATATCTTAATTGACACTAATAGTTAAATGTTCTTATATTTTCTATTTTTTGTAGAGACAGGTTTGAACTCAGCTCAGAGCCTTGCTTTATACCACTTGAGCCATGCCCCCAGTCCTTTTTGCTTTAGTTGTTTTTTTATACAGGGTCTTGTTTTTTGCCTGGGACCAGCAGAGCATGATCCTCCTACCTCTACCTCTCATATTGCTAGAACCATTTGTTGAGAGGGAACTAACTTTTTGCCTAGACTGGCCTTGAACCACAAGCCTTCTGATTTATTTATTTATTTTTGTCAGTTGTGGGGCTTGAACTCTGGGCTTGGGCACTTTCCCTCAGCAATTCAGCTGAGGGTTAATGTTCTACTACTTGAGCCACAGTGCCACTTCTGGTTTTCTGGTGGTCTTATTGGAGATAAGAGTCTCATGGACTTTCCTGCCCAGGCTGGCTTTCAACCGTGATCTTCAGATCTTAGCTTTCAGAGTAGCTAGGATTTCAGGCATGAGCCACAAGTGCCCAGCTTCTGATTTTTTAAAGTAGCTGGGATTAAAGGTCTAGGCTATCATACTTAGCCTAAAAGTGTATGTCGTTTGAAACCTAACAAAAATCACATCCCTCTTGTGGTTCATAGTTTCTTTCTTTTAAACTTAATTAATCACAAGCAAGGCTTGTGCTTGCTAACACTGAACTATATCTCAAGCCTTTGAACTTTAAAAGTCAAACTAATATGGGCGGTATGGATGTTAAAAAAAAAACATTAAAAGTAATGTCTACTGAAGCTGAATCACAGTTTAAGATGTTTTCTAAAAGTCAGTATGCTTATTTCCTGAAATCTATTCATTTTCCTTTTATCAGATGAAGAGACATACCCTGACTGTTGTGAAGCATAAAGCAGGCAGACATCTCCCTTCTTATTCAGTACATACTCATTGAACATCTATTCTGTGCCAAACATTTTGCTCAGCTTTACAGATATCAGCAAAACAGACCCTTTCCCTGTCATGATAGAAACTAATTAAAATTGTTCTACATGCTGTGGAATAAGAATGCACAGCATATGCAATGACAAGATGATTAGTAAGTTAGGGAAGGTCTTTGTGCAAAAGTTAAAATAATGGGCTGGGAAGTTGGCTCAGTGGTAGAGTGCTTGCCTTGCATGCATGAGGCCCTGGGTTCGATTCCTTAGCACCATATAAGCAAAAAGAAAAGAGCTGGAAGTGGCGCTGTGGCTCAAGTGGTAGAGCACTAGCCTTGAGCTGAAGAGCTGAGGGACAGTGCCCAGGCCCA